AAATTTACAGAATGTTCTAAGCAACTTTCAAACAATAAAGAAATTTGACAATCCTTCATATACATGTGTTGTTCCGTTGCAGCGACTATACATGTGCACGAACGAGGAATTTGAATTTTTGGGATGACGTGACGGGTATATAATCTAACCGATTCCATTTAGATTGTTTTTCTTTTTCTTTCCATCACTTTTGTTAGTAGTTATCCCACACTGTGATAATAGAAAATCAGCCTGGAATGGTGAAATGTTTTGAGAGCCTGATCGCAAATTTATTGTGGATGACCTTGAGATCAAAGCATTCTCTTGATATTTTCCTCTTAGTGAATTGTTTCTTCTTTGATCAGAGTAGCATTTTTCATGTCAAAATTGTGGTCAATCTTGTTCTTTTTTATTTTTACCTGCAATTGAGTGATGTACTCGCTGATTTGAGGAGGCAATGTTTTCTTTCTGAGAATAATTTTATTCATTTCAATTTTAAAATCAAATTTGACGCCGCACGTTACCATTCTGTATTTGTTTCTATGTTAACATATTTAACAGTACTGGCTTCTTTGAGTCAACATTTAAGAAGTCAACAAGCAACTGACGAGAAACCGCCTGATTGTCCCCGACGCAATCATTGAGAAGCAACGCTTTCGAAATCATCAAAGATTTAAATTACTTTCTTAGAGGATTAACCAAGAAATGTTGTTTACTACAAACTGTTTCACCCAAGAACAATACATAGTTACTTGTTATTATTTTTATCATAGATATGTGCCTAATTCTCCCGAGTTTTTCAACCTCAGTATACAATAATACGATGACGATGTCGTGTTCCTCATTTGACAATGAGCCATAAAGACAACAGAAAATGTGGTTTCGAAGTTGGTACATACACTGGATAATTTTGTGAGTGTACCTTTTGTAATAATCTGATTACTATACAAGCTATTCTGACATACTGCCGAAACGCTCCATGTTGCTTGCAATAACATTCGTGACTAAAAATCTTAAACTTGTACTTTTTTTCAGCTGCAACAGATTATCTCTTTACTTTTGATTTTCGCTAATACCTACAACCTGGTATATAGAGTTTATAGTTGCACTACTAAAAGTCTGGATGACTAAAACCTAACAGCTCATCTCTCCTCTGACATTACCCTGGTGGCTCAATGTGGAAAGGACTGGATTGTACCAAAGTAGTAAAGTTCCACTACCAGCAAACAGACACACGAACCTTCACCTATCATTATGGATAGCTGTTCTCACAAGGAAAGTCTTTGCCTTGAACGTCTATTGAAACTCAAGATCACGCCAAACCAAAAGGAATGATTCGTTAATTTTAACACCTCCAAAACGAAACAGCTCTATTTTAATCGTCTTAGATAATCTTTTTTTTTTTGTTTTTCATCAGCATGACTGATGCTAACCCCAAGGAAAATGAATTTATTGCATCTTCTCCGGCTAACGTTTCCCGCCAGAATATATCTTTAAACATTTTTTATATGTTTACCATTCATTCATGCACTGAATATTGTTATCACATCTGGTCTGGTGTTTCTCATACGTATTTAGAGATTCTTGATAATATCCAAAGAGGAATCTGAAATGTCATCGATCTTGATCTGTCATCTCGGCTGCAGTCACTTTCCTACCGCAGCTTCCCTCTGCCTTTTCTATAAATATTTTCATGGTAGTTATTCTGATGAGTTTTCGTCTTTGATACCATGACTTTATTAATTCAAGTGCAGTACTAGATTGGCAGCTAGGTCTCATCATTTTACAGTTGAAATTTCTAGATGCAACCGTAATTTCTATGCTAACAGTTTCTTCTCTCGCACTTCTCGCTTGCAGAACTCTCTGCCGGCTTACTTTCCAGCCAACCTTGATCTTCAAAAATTTAAATCCAATGTCAGTCGTTATCTTCTGTCTTCTTAATTCTTGTTCTTTTATTGTTTTCTCTCCTTATATTCTTTCAGACCCAGTAACCCTTGCGCCTTAGTGGCTTTACTGCATTACTTGGTATGAAATAATAAAAGAAAAAATAAAGGTAAAGAAACGGACTGATGATATAATAACATTAAAATTAAGTAATTCATCGAGTCTAGAAGAAACCTCAACAGAATGCGGAAAGCACTTTACGGCCGTTTCGTCCTATATTTGGGACTCATTAGAAGTGTGCATCTACTACCGAGAATTGAAACCTGGACCGTTACGTTATCAAGTAAACGTCATACCAATGGGCCTCGGTGACGAAGAGGTAGCGAATCAAACTCAATATAGCGCCGCTCGATTATATATTCCGTGGTGGAACTCATCCGAGTTTCTCTTTTACCCATAGGACTGTGTCCCCACGAGCCACGATTACTATCACCAAACCCCTCCATCCAGAGCATTAGAAGCCGGTTCAAGCAAGGATATGCAAGTGATAGAAATTAGGAGGATTTGAGATAATATAGGATAAAACGACCGTCCAGGGCTTTCTGCATTCTCTTGAGGTTCCTTCTAGACTCGATGAATTACTTAATTATAATTATTTCAAATCCTCCTAATTTCTATCACTAATAAAATGACATATTACGATATATTCAAAAGAATTTAACACAACAGAGATATAATCCTTACTACTTTTATCCGCAAAAAAATTAAGAGTAGTTGCAATCTTTCTGTCTGCAACAATTATTCTCAGGTTACACGCCATTAAATCCTGTTAGCTTTCCATTGTTGCCATAGCTACACTGCCAAAGCAACATTACCTCACATAATCTAGCTGATTCGATTTCTGCAAGTGACATGATGGGGCGAAACCATCCTGTTTATTTTTTTCTCTAATTGTTTAGCACTCCATTTTAATTGTTTTTATTTCTATCTTTAGACATTTTGGAAAATTATTTTGACACGTTGCAGTGTTGAATGGACGTCATCAGAAAAAGAATTCATTTCAGCTAAATCTAAATTCTCGAAACAAAACTTGATTCACTTTAAGCAAATGAACAATGGAGTTTCACTTTAACTGTTTCGTTATAGAAATTTGATTATTTTAACTAATTTCAAATCAGTTTTATTTTAATGCATTGATTAATTTTGGGGTTACATATTCCACATTTCAGTTTTCATTTAGTAGGAAAAGGCGATAAACTGAAATATCCCGGTCGTATTTTAATTTTAGCGAATTCGTAGATCATAACACTTTCAATACATCTTCATTTTTTTTTCTTATTAAAAGGTATTTTCCAGGTCAAAATTGTGATCACGAAGATCCATGTGTTGCTCTAGTGTTTTCAGCGTATTATTTAAATTTTCTGTTTATTTTATTGTTACTGTTATATTTTTTTTATATCATGAAATGTTTCACCAACGGACGGATTTCGGCCTTAAACAGCTTAACAATATTTAGGACCCTTTCATTACGTATGTCCACCACTTCAAGAGGCCCCATCGAATTTAAAAGACCCACTTCAATTAAACAGTCAAATAATCAAAGAGTTTCAAAGAACTCTGTTAAATCTGAAAATAAAAAAAATCTTGTCTGTTCTAATTATCTTCATATTTTTTTAGTTTTATCACAAGCCCAAGACTAGAGGGCTCTAGTAATGGGGTTCCTGAGCTGTTGACCATATTAGCCCATATTTATATCCAGTACTTATTTCGCTGATGTATTTTCTAGGGCCATTGTTTAGATTCTATTTGATAGATTCCTACTTCTGATTTAAACTTACTTGTTCCTGAAGTGTTTTAATAATTTTTATATTGAGAGTAAATAAATTTCCTTCAATTTCATTAGTTATGGAGGTTTTAGTTAATATATTTAATATATATTAATTAGGTTCAATTAGGTAATATATTAGTCTTGAGGTAATATATGTTTCTAGTTTTTGCGTTAACGTTTATTTTTCCTGTTTCTTTCTTTTTTTGCGTGGGTGGGGGGTTAGATTATCCCTCTCCCTTAAAGATATGATTTCACACACGCACACACATACTTTTGAGATTGATTTACATTTGATTTAAATGGTTATGCTATATATTTAACCATCGTTGATTGAAAGAAACAGATGCTTTTTCAGTGGAAATAATATTTTCAAAGAAGCTGTGCAAACGTATATATACGCGCGCGAATTAACAATAAACTATTTTTTTGTTTCGGGCCCTGTATAAATTATGAAACCGGTAAAGACAATTTCATACAGACCCAGCCTGAAACAAAAATATATATATATATATATATATATATATATATAATTATATATAATAATAATAATAATAATAATAATATATATATATATATATATATATATATATATATATATATATTATATAAAATTAAATGAACAGGTTACACCTGTGCGCGTTGCTTTGTTATTCAGATAATATAATTGAACGCATCAATCATAGCCAGATGAATATTTATGTCGAAACAAGCGAGATAAAAAAAAGAAAGAAAGAAAAGGCGTTAAGGCAAAAAAAAAAAAGAAAAAAGAAGAAGAAATTCCTTGTCATTTGGTGTTTCGATGAATGAGTGAAATTTTATTGACTTCAGCTGAAAATCCTACAGGCGAAAGCCGGTGCACGCGCGTGCGCGAACAAACTTGGTACCGTCAAACGGTCCTGTGTATAAACAACGAATGAAATTTTTTGGAATTAAAGAAAGAAGATATTTTAAAATTCTTTTATAGAAGTAAAACAATTTTCTAGATGATAAATAATGGTTTTCAGCAGCAATAATTACATGCATACATGTACCACGCAGCGAAAGCGAAAATATGGCCACTTGTATCCGAGTATGCCTGTCTACTAGGGCGGCTAGCAGACGCCTGTTCAGGCAAATTTCTGTTTTGTTCCACATTTAGAGTCCACCTGGGATTTATACATCAACTATAATGAGCGGACGTTTGTTACAGTTTCTAGGTGAGACCATTATCCATTATGCCATAGAAGAGGTGGATTCCTCCCTTTTCCAAACGTAAGTGAATATAACGAACCCCGGGACCATTATCCATTATACCACCCGCACATCCCAGCTTGCAGCACCTGGCATTCCGAAGTGGTTACCCATCTAGGTATTGAACAGGTTCGAGGTGGCTTAACTTCATTGATCGTACGGGAATCGGTGCTTCAACGTGATGTGTTCGTTAGCTCGGTAAGTATTGTGTTTGTCAGAATCAAATTACTCAAAACCGCTGGAAATACATTACCCTGAAAGGTAACCACAAATAACTTCTTATATCAAAGGTGAATCAAATAAAAAGTATAAGAAAGAAATGTCTACAGTCTGCCTGATATTATTATGCAAATCGCATTAACCTCAACAAAACGAATTGGTTTTGAAACATGTTTTGACAAATTCTAAATATTATTGAAGTAAAAAATGATTTTCTGGTTTTGAATAATAACTTCAGACTGTAGTTTTTATAATAAATCCAATAACTTTAATAAAAGACGTTGAAGCTACCTAAAAAAATTGACTCAAACTTTGTTTTGACGTCTATGTTAATCGTTTCAAATTTGACAAAAATGTTTCAAAGCCAATTCGTATTATTGAAAGTGAGACGATTTGCATATTAACATCATACGAACTGCATTTTATATCTTTATTATCAATTGATAAATTTTTAATGTTGTTATTCACTTGCATCAAGACACATTTTCAACGCCACCGGTTATAAATATAGACAGTTAGCTAAGAGGAGAAAAAAAATCCTGGTTATTTCTGGTAAATTTAACATAAAATACAATGCGAAAATATTCGTGTTGAATTTTTTCTATGAAATTTCTTTTACATTAGAAATTAAAAAAAAAAATGCCCGGGTATTCTAATAATTATAATTAATAGGTGTAGAAATTATAGTCTTACACTGAAGAGTTACAAAAAGGTTTTTTTTCTCTATTTTTATAAAACCAAAAGTGTTAAAAGCCCACAGGGACAAAAATAGGTCCGTTAAGTATGTACATCAATTTGTGGACAGCGAGAAAATACTTTCTACATATATACGAGAGGTACTGAAAATATTTTATACCGCCCAAGTTTTTCACCGATCATTTTGTCAGATTTCGGGTAGTGGGTAGGGACAAGAAATAAATAATCATTCGACTCATCCAAAATGGCAAAACAAAAATTTTTAATGGGTTCTTCACTCGTAGTTTCCATGTTCTTCAAATCCTTCTGGATATCCTTTCTGATCGATTATTGTTATTGCATATATATATATATATATATATATATATATATATATATATATATATATATATATATATATATGCTGCGATGAAATAATTGTCATATAATTACGAAAAAATGAAAATAACACTGCTTCTCATTTAACAGATATATTTACCAAAATTACACAAAAATACCGTGAAATGCAAAAAAGTGAAATTATTCAATAAAATCAACATTGGATTCAACTCCGGCGTCTAGACGACTTCGGAATCTCCTGCAACTCTTCTGGACGGTCTCCTTGTACAAGTTGGCGAATATTGCTATAATCCTTGATTTCAGTTCATCTTTAGGATTACAAGAATTTTTGTTGGTCTCTCGCTCAACTGCGCCCCACACATAATAATCAAGGGGGTTGCAGTTTGGGGAGTTTGTGAAGTAAGGGGTTATGTGGTCGCAGAAATTGTCTGGCAGGAATTACTGTGTTCTCCTGTTTATGTGGCATAATGCTAAATACTGTTAGCAGACATAGGGTCCCCCAGCAGACACCCTCTTGATCCGGAGCAGCACTACCTCCTACAGGCACGTGTTGACTCTGAGTCCCTCACTAAACTATTTGGGAGTTCTTTTTTAATCAGAACGTTCAGAGTGTGTTTTCATCATTAGACTCATCCAAGCACTCCGAAATGTTCCTATTGGAGCTACCGGCGCAAATGCCAAGCAGTACAGCATGCCGTGTCCAAATTTCTGGCCGAGTCAATTGCATCATGCTACTTTTTGTTAAACAGATTTTGCTCAACTGGCTCTATTATACTTTGCAGTCGGTAAAATGAAAAGCAAACAACGCGCATGCACGAAAGTAAAAAATATGAAATGGCGATAAATTTACCCAACTTACTCTGTATATATATCCGCGCGTCTCTCTGTGTGTGTATGGGTGGGTGTCTGTGTCTAGGATGTATAATAGTATCAGAAATAAAAGCGAAGATGAGACAAAGTGGAAAATTTATTAACGACACATTTCGCCGGAGAGCATCTGCTCTCTTTGGCTTCTTCAGATTAGAATGAAAGAAATACAACCCTTTGTGAGAGGAAAAAGCCTTGCAATGTCTGAGGATAAGTGAGAAGCATAAATAAAATTAAATTAAGTTTAATTACCTTTGATTGTCACCTGCAAATGTCAAGATTTAGTATCTGTTTGTTTAATCTGTGTCTATATTAAATTGTATGGTATTGTTATTGCTGGACTTTTAAATTACTTTTGTTGCATACATGCAGATAAAGGCATATATATATATATATATATATATATATATATATATATATATATATATATATCACACTCGATACATTTGTCGCTGGCATATTTTTTGCAGTCGTCAATGATGGTCTGTCTATGTTGCGGTTTATCGTGACATGAAAAAATAACTCCCCCACCTCCACCCTCTGAGCTTACTTTTCTATTTAGCGTGGATCTGACATTTAATTGGTTAATCAAGACATACCCACAAGTCTATTTTTAATTCTAACATTATGTCCCCCCCCACTTTAACTTTCGGCAAAGAGGTAACACTTTGTTTTTAAATTTCTTTAAAAATCATTTGATCACCAGTTACTTACCATCGCCTGAAGAAAAACAATTATATTATTGAAGCATGAAATCATTTGTGTAGCGATTTCAAAATGTTTTTATCATAGTCCCTTATAATACACACACACACACACACACACACACACACACACACACACACATATATATATATATATTTTCAAGAGGATAGAAACCAGGTAAAATTCAATGTCCAGGGGCCAACGAATCGGTGGCGAATTATGCATCTGAAAATAATTCATATTTATCTGTATCTCACTCATTTAAAACGTTATTTAACTCCTCTCTTTAAAACTTCTCTCTGTTAAATTTCAATCCCCACCTTCACCTTTGAGGCCTTCCTGTTCTTCTTTCTTCTGTTACCTCTCTCTAGAGCTTTCATACATTTCCCTCTCACACTTGTTTCCCACTCCCAAACATACACTCTCACTAAAATTTTATTTTTTATACCTGGAGTTATATCTATAGGTCTGATGAATTGGATCGTGATTACGATTCCAATGTAATAAATTATAACCATGGGACATTAGTGTTTGAGCCTTTCATATTATATATATATATATATATATATGTATATATATATATATATATATATATGAAATGTAATTTAATTTTTGAAAAGTCCCTTATGTGGAAGGCTATTCACAAACTGTTCAATTTTAAATGAATTGTTTAGTCAAAAGCTTTTGAAGGTATGGTATCTATTGTTTTCCTAGGTCAGGAAGTTGGTCTATTGTTTTCGAATAAGCATAAAATAAATACCTATAACTAAATATTCTATAGGGCGGATCTCATATCAGTTTGAAAGCCATTGAGTGTAAACTTAGTTATATTGATGAGACGTCTTCTCATTTCCGTTTACGTGCAATGGAATATCCTGTTGTGGATAAAAGGCCGTCAATTTTCAAGCGTTTGTCAAATAACGACCAGCGTAAGCAAAAATGTAATGTTCAGCACCATTGACAAAGTGGGCATACCATACAAATTGGTTATTAAAGAAGGATTCTTGATTGCTAAAACAGAGAAGTTGTATAATGAAATAAGTTGCACAAACTCCTCCTTTCTTCTTCTTCTAAGAATTTTTTATTACTAATTTATAGAAATGGAGACTAAAGACTTTTTACGCTTATCTTCTAAATGGGTTGTCTGTCTTTAAAATCAGCATTCGAAATCCTGCGTTTTTTTTATCCAAGATTTACAGCAGCATCTATCGCACTATATAGAATTTCCAAGCTCAGGACATTTCATACAAATGAATGCCGTTTGTTTTGTAAAAGATATCGATGGTAGTTAACATGTTCGTTCCATGGTATTCTCAGCATCCTTCTGTAGAACCATGTGTCTGTTGCTTCAAGTCTCTTCTTAATCTGTGAGGGGATTGTCCAGCATTCACATATAGATGGACTGGTATTACGTAATTGTTCAGTACTCTCTTCTTTTTGCTAATGAAATTTATCTGTTTAGCTTTTTGAAAACACCTTTTACTATACCAATGCGCAGTCAGATTTCAGTGTTACACTTTCCCTCCTCTGTCAAAATGACATCAAACTTAGTAAAAAGATAACAAAAAATGAGAAAAAACGACGTTTAACTGCTAACACCTCCTGACAGTGGACTGAATAATTACTGAAAAAATTCGTCTAAGCAATTCTGAAATCGAGGTGCTGAATACTAAACAATGATAACTCTTATAGGTATTAATCCTGCATATATATATATATATATATATATATATATATATATATATATATGACAAAAATATACATTTAAGTTATTCTATATTTATGAGTAAAAGTGCTATATATAAGGGATAACGCGTATGTAAATATAAAATATACAAGTGGAAAATTAAATCAACATTGAGCGACGACAGTCTGTTTCATGCTTTTCAGAATTAGTTCAATAATATTTTATTGTGTACAAATTATTTACTCTGTAATAATAAATACACTGAGCTCTTTTTGTGGATCAGTTTTAATATTTTATATTACTAGGATACATTTGGATTATATACCAACCTATATATTGCCTTTACTATATATATATATATATATATATATATATATATATATATATATATAAAAAAAAACTGAAAATGGTTATGAATAGTCCTGAGTAGTTCTCACCCGTCGAGGTGCAGTTGAAATGCACCGAAACGAAGTTGCATCGTTGTAGTGAGTAAACTGTCTATATGATAAAACTATAATAAATAGTTATCGCTCTACTATCGGTATCGAGCACTCTTTTGGATTAATACTGTGAACGTTGGAATTTATACATTACTTTCGTTCTCATTGCATCGGGTATGTATATATATATATATATATATATATATATATATATAGAATCAGAGA